TATTGCCCGAAACACTTCAGAATTCATCCTGCTGCTTTTCTCAGCAGTCACATCATCAATAAATACAAGAGAACCAGTTCCATTGGCAGCCATACATGCCCACGCCATGACACTACCACCACCATGCTTCACTGATGAGGTGGTATGCTTAGGACCATGAGCAGTTCCTTTCCTTCTCCATACTCTTCTCTTCCCATCACTCTGGTACAAGTTGATCTTGGTCTCATCTGTCCATAGAATGTTGTTCCAGAACTGTGAAGGCTTTTTTAGATGTCGTTTGGCAAACTCTAATCTGGCCTTCCTGTTTTTGAGGCTCACCAATGGTTTTCATCTTGTGGTAAACCCTCTGTATTTGCTCTGGTGAAGTCTTCTCTTGATTGTTGACTTTGATACACATACACCTACCTCCTGGACAGTGTTCTTGATCTGGCCAACTGTTGTGAAGGGTTTTTTCTTCACCAGGGAAAGAATTCTTCAGTCATCCACCACAGTTGTTTTCTGTGGTCTTCCGGGTCTTTTGGTGTTGCAGAGCTCACCGGTGTGTTCCTTCTTTTAAGAATGTTCCAAACAGTTGTTTTGGCCACGCCTAATGTTTTTGCTATCTCTCTGATGGGTTTGTTTTGTTTTTTAGCCTAATGATGGCTTGCTTCACTGATAGTGACAGCTCTTTGGACCTCATCTTGAGTGTTGACAGCAACAGATTCCAAATGCAAATAGCACACTTGAAATTAACTCTGGACCTTTTATCTGCTCATTGTAATTGGGATAATGAGGGAATAACACACACCTGGCCATGGAACAGCTGAGAAGCCAATTGTCCCATTACTTTTGGTCCCTTAACAAGTGGGAGGCACATATGCAAACTGTTGTAATTCCTACACCATTCACCTGATTTGGATGTAAATACCCTCAAATTTAAGCTGACAGTCTGCAGGTAAAGCACATCTTGTTCGTTCCATTTCAAATCCATTGCGGTGGTGTATAGAGCCAAAATGTTAGAATTGTGTCGATGTCCCAATATTTATGTACCTGACTGTATATATATATATATATATATATATATATATATATATATACATACATACAATCTCCTAAAAGTAATCTTACTAAGAGTGATATCATATATAAATATCGTAATCAAGAAATATTACAGTATAAATCTTTAGCCTAACATGTATGAAATAGATTCTTACAATTCTCTTGTTAGTGTAACATAATCTCTTACATAGATGGGGGAAGATGGGGGGAGGGATAGCTAATTACTACCACATGTGGCTTGAATGTAAAGAACAAGCCAAGATATATTCACAGACTATATAAAACCTATTTAGCTTACTTTTCCCAATCTAGAACAAATAGAAATATAATAACTCAATTCAATTATTCTATTAAGATCCAACTCATTCATACATATGTTAGTACTGTTAATAAGAAGATATTAGATATTAGGTTAAGGAAAGCTTCTAACAGTGAGCCTGCCCCAATAGAAAGGCTTAGGACAGGCTCAGTTTGCTTTCAACATTCAAGAAGTGCAGCTTCTAAATCTATAACCCTTTGTTAGGCAGACACTGTTCAAATCTAGCTTAAAAACTGATAAGGAGAGCTGCCAGCATGGTACAAACAGGCTTCATTATAGCAAACACAGTCCTCTCATACACAAATGTAAATTAGAACATGTAACAAATATAAAGTTGCTGTTATCCTAATTTAAAGTGATATTAACCACTTTCCTGCCACCCTATAGCAGAAATAGTGCTACAGGGCAGCAGGGGGTGCACAAAATCATATATATATATATATATATATATATATATACATACATACACACACACAGTTGTGTTCAAAATAATAGCAGTCAGACATCACTAACCTGATCAATCACTGTTTTTGGTAGAAATGATATTTCTACATGGCAAATAATTTACTAGCAGGTGTAGTAGAGTAATAGAAATCCAACAGACCCAACAGTCATGACATGCATGCTGCTGATTCTGTGTAACTGAATCACTAATTGAAAGGGGCATGTTCAAAATAATCGCAGTGTGGAGTTCTATTAGTGAGGTTATTCATTCTTTGAAAAACAGGTGGCAATTATTGCCCTTATTTAAGGAAGGAAGGCAGCAAGTGTTGTACATGCTGGTTACAGTGCATTTCTCTCTGAAATTCTGAGGAAAATGGGTCGTTCCAGACATTGTTCAGAAGAACAGCGTACCTTGATTAAAGAGTTGATTGGAGAGGGGAAAACATATAAAGAAGTGCAGAAAATGATAGGCTGCTCAGCTAAAATGATTGCAAATGCTTTAAAATGGGAACCAAAACCTGAAAGACGTGGAAGAAAGCAAAAAACTACCATTCGAATGGATAGAAGAATAGCCAAAATGGCAAGGACTCAGCCAACAATCAGCTCCAGGAAGATCAAAGAAGGTGTAAAGTTCCCTGTGAGGACTGTTACAATTAGAAGACGCCTATGTGAAGCCAAGCTATCTGCAAGAAGCCCCCGCAAAGTCCCACTGTTGAAAAAAAGACGTGCTGAAGAGGTTACAATTTGCAAAGAGCACATTGACTGGCCTAAAGAGAAATGGCGCAACATTTTGTGGACTGATTAAAGTAAGATTGTTCTTTTTGGGTCTAGTGGCCGGAGACAGTTTGTCAGACGACCCTCAAACACTGAATTCAAGCCACAGTACACTGTGAAGACAGTGAAGCATGGTGGTGCAAGCATCATGATATGGGGATGTTTCTCCTACTACGGTGTTGGGCCTATTTATCGCATACCAGGGATCATGGATCAGTTTGAATACATCAGAATACTTGAAGAGGTCATGCTGCCTTATGCTGAAGAGGAAATGCCCTTGAAATGGGTGTTCCAACAAGACAACGACCCCAAACACACCAGTAAACATGCAACATCTTGGTTCCAGACCAACAAGATTGACGTTATGGAGTGGCCAGCCCAATCCCCGGATCTTAATCCAATGGAAAACTTGTGGGGTGACATCAAAAATGCAGTTTCTGAGGCAAAACCAAGAAATAGAGAAGACCTGTGGAATGTAGTCCAATCATCCTGGGCTGGAATACCTGTTCACAGGTGCCAGAAGTTGGGTGACTCCATGCAACACAGATGTACAGCAGTTCTCAGAAACAGTGCGACTACAACCAAATATTCATTAACCACTTGCCCTCCAGAAGATTTACCCCCCTTCCTGACCAGGCCATTTTTTGGCGTTACGGCGCTGCGTCACTTTGGCAATTGTGCGGTCATGCAACGCTGCACCAAAATTTAATTTACGTGAATAGAGCTTTCTTTCGGTGGTATTTGATTGCCTGTGCGTTTTTTATTTTTGCGCTATAAAAAAAGTGACAATTTTGAGAAAAAAAACTTTTGACTTTTTGCTATTAAACATGTCCAGTAAAAAAATAACATTTTGTTATAAATTTAGGCCAAAATGTATTCTGCGACTTGTCTCTGCTAAAAAAAAAAATTCCAATACGTGTAAATTAATTGGTTTACGTGAAAGCTACAGCATTTACAAATGGTGGTGTATATATACTGGAATTTTGTTTTTTTGGGGTTTTTTTTACTAGTAATGGCGGTGATCAGCGACTTATAGCGGGACTGCTGAGGGCATTCTGACACTGCTGCAGAACTGTCTTGGTGTCACTGATATTCCCAGTGTCCCCAATACAGTGATCAGTGATAATAAAAAGCACTGACACTGTACTAATAACACTGGACAGGAAGAGGTTAATATCTGGGGCGTCAAAGGGGGTTAACTGTGTGCTGTTTCACTGTGTGCTGTGTGTGCTTCACTGTAAGCACACTGATTTGCATGGGTTTGCTATGCAGAACTATACAAAGCAGTGTGCAGGAGCTGACAGGGGAGAGATCTGTATTGTTTACATATAGGTCTCTCCCCCGTCCGTGATACATTGTGACCGCCGGGTGCCCGTGGGGAATCACTGGCCAGGACCCACTGATTGACAGCTGAGGTCGCCAATGGTGGCACAGGTAGGGAGCGCGTGCGGCTTGCGCATGCCCCCTACCCAGATATGCAAAATCATATATATATATATATATATATATATATATATATATATATACACAGTTGTGTACAAAATAATAGCAGTGTGTTGAAAAAAGTGAATAAAGCTCAAAATCCTTCTAATAGCTTTTATTTCCATACACACAAATGCATTGGGAACACTACACATTCTATTCCAAATCAAAACATGAAGAAAAATAGATCAAATTTGTGTTGTTCCTCTAAAAAATTTGAAGAAAAGTGAATATTAGACTGTTCAAAAAAAATCGCAGTGTTTGTATTCTTCTTTACAAACTCAAACATTCACTATATAAACTGAAAAATGTTTGAAGGTTTTGCTTTCCTTTGAATCACTTAACCACTTGCCTACCGGGCACTTATACCCCCTTCCTTACCAGACCAATTTTCAGCTTTCAGCCTTGTTGCACTTTGATTGACAATTGCGCGGTCATGCAAGATTGTACCCATATAAAATTTTTATCGTTTTTTTCTCACAAATAGAGCTTTCTTTTGGTGGTATTTAATTGCCACAGGGCACTTTACTTTTTGCGCTATAAACAAAAAAAGTGCAAAAAATTAGAAAAAAAAATAAAAAGTTTCTTTGTTTCTATTATAAAATTTTTCAAACAGGTAATTTTTCTCCTTCACTGATGTGCGTTGATGAGGCAGCACTGATGGGCACTAATAGGTGGCACTGATGGGCACTGATAGGCAGCACTGATGGGCACTGATAGGCAGCACTGATGGGCACTGATATGCAGCACTAATGAGGTGGCACAGATAGGCAGCACTGATAGGCAGCACTAATGAGGTGTCACGGATAGGCAGCACTGATAGGTGGCACTGACTGGCATCACTGCTGGGCACTGGCTGCACTGCTAGGCATTGACTGGCGCAACTGCTGGGTACTGACTGGCACAACCACTGGGCACTGACTGGCACAACTGCTGGGCACTGACTGGCAGCACTGCTGGGCTGCACTGGTGGGCACATGTGGGTGGCACTGCTGGGTGGCACAGGTGGGTGCACTGCTGGGCACAGGTGGGTGCACTGCTTGGCACAGGTGGGCAGAACTGGTGGGTGGCACTGCTGGGCACTGATCATCAGTGCCCTGATGATCGGTCCCGATCCCTGCTCTGACAGCTGCCTGTTCTCGGCAGTACTTTCCTCACGCTCTGACAGTGTGAGGAAAGTGCAGCCGAGAACCGGCAATTGCATTTTCCGGTGATCAGCATGTCATTGGACACGGCTGATCACGTGGTAAAAGGCCACTGTGATTGGCCTTTACCACATCACATGATCAGCTGTGTCCTACGGACACAGCGATCACGGACATCACCAGGTGTGCGCCCCCGGGGGGCATGCAGGAGAGCGCGTTCTGGGAGGATGTCATATGACGCCCTCCCAGAACTGGCCGGCCACAGTGTAGCCATCATTTGGCTATCTGCGGTTAAAAAGTAGTTAGGTGTTCTTTGTATTTTGTCTCTGCTCCTCCCTTTCCCTTGGTTTAGTTAATGCTGTATAGATAGCCCCACCCTTTTGATCATTTCCCAGTAATGCACTTCAGCTTCTAGCCTCATGTCTTATGGAAGTAGATCACATTATGATCTTTTGACCTATCCGATGTTCATTGTTGTAAGATTCTCTGAGTTTATGGAATAAACTTCACAAGGTCTACAAAGGTGTCGTCTGGATCGAGTCACTGCCTGTGTTATTCAACTAAGATTGGAGTTATCGCTATCTCATCATAACTGTAAGTTACAGAGATCACACTTTCAATGCTTAGATTGGAGAGACAGAACATCTGTGATTGGCTATTACAGTGGTCACATGACCGAAGAACCACCTGCCAATTGTTATTAGGGACCAAAAGCTGTCTTAGATGCTCTCAGTTCTGTGCTGTCTGCTGTCTATGGACGCAAATGTGCAGCATATGGTCATTAAAGCCCATATGAATTACATGGGCAGCAAGAGATTAAAACTGTACTAAACCCAAAAAGAAAATGAAATGTATTGCAGCTTACCAATCTTAACATGTAGTTGCTGCATTAGTTTTCTTTTTTAGAATTTTGTATCCTCTATTTCCGTCTGGTAATCTGGCCAGTAGGTCTGTTATTTTTCAACTTCCTCCAACAGACCACATACTGTTATGTATGCAACCCTTTGTGCATGGGGCCTTTGTCACATATGTCTTTCATACTGCTGTGTGGTTTATGTTTCTGGTTAACACTAGCAATCTGTAATACGGGACAGGAAAATGTAATATACCACAAATTTAGCAAAAAGCCCCAGCTTACTAATTGTGAAAGAGGCACATAACTACGGTTATGGGACTGGAGGAGGTAATCAATGTACTGCAAATGTGGTGATGTGACTGCACCTGTACATTATCGAGGTCTGTGAGTTATTTTGCCATATGTGTAGATGGGGCTTGTAGCCTTCCATTAAAAGATGCCAGTGAATGGATGACAAGGCAGTGTGGGCAGAGCCACACATAGCTGCAAAAATGTATTTAAAAAAGCAGAAGCCTGCGGGGAGAAGCACCCCACAATGGAGTGAGGTGGGGTGGACAGTTTGAATTTGGGGACTGGGGATTTTGAGTCTGTTGCAAGTATGGATATAATATGAAACATGGTGGACCTTGAACCACAACACCAGCCTGATTCATGCCCCTTAAAGGGGTACAACACTAACTAATCTGGTACATACAAAGCGTGGGGCAAGATATTCTATTCGTTTTCAGAGCTGGCAAAGATGGTCTCATTAATAGAGCAGGCCCAAAGATAAGGGGTCTTGAGAAAAAGTCAAACTATATAAGAAGAAGTGAAAATGACAACATGTTTCAAAGGTTCAGGCATTCTCCCTTCATCACGACTACAATACAAATAAAAACTCAAAGGTTCATATAGAATATAAAATCCATTGTGCAAAAAAAACAGCAAAAAATGTTAAAAATTGTCAACAATGGCTACTATCCTGGCCAGCAAATTAATGCGACTGGATGACATCACTGGTTGCCAAGGCTGTGGTGGGTGATGTGACCGCACTTGTACATTATTGAGGTCTGTGAGTCATTTTGCCATATGTGTAGATGGGGCTTGTAGTCTTCCCTTAAAATATGCTAGTGAATGGATCTGTGAATGGATGACAAGGCAGTGTGGGCAGAGCCACACATAGCTGCAAAAAATGTATTTAAAAAAGCAGAAGCCTGCGGGAAGTAGCACCACAAAATGGAGGTAGGTGAGGTGCGCAGAGTGAGGGTGGGGGGACTGGGAATTTTGAGTCTGTTGCAAGTACGGGTATAATATGAAACATGGTGGACCTTGAACCACAACACCAGCCCGATTAAAGGGTTACAACACTAACTAATCTGGTTCATACAAAGTGTGGGGCAAGATATTCTATTATTAGTTTTCAGTGCTGGCAAAGATGGTCTCATTAATAGAGCAGGCCCAAAGAAAAAGGGGAAAATGACAACATGTTTCAAAGGTTCAGGAATTCTCCCTTCATCATGACTACAATACAAATAAAAACTCAAAGGTTCATATAGAATATAAAATCCATTGTGCAAAAAAAAACAACAAAAAAAAACTGTTAAAAATTGTCAGCAATGGCCACTATCCTGGCCAGCAAATGAATGAGACTGAATGACATCACTGGTTGCCAAGGATGCGGTGGATGCTGGCATCCGCTTCTTCCTTAACAACCATTGATAGCAGAAGAAAGGAAGCTGTCATATACTGTATAGTAGTGGTAGAAAATTTTATATGATGTTATGTGCCAATGAACAGGTCACCTAAACAAGGAAAGTTCAGACTGATCCTTTAGCCCATCCCTAGAAAGGGCATGTGAAACAGAGTAATAGTGAAAAGCTTTCTGGGAGTGAAAAGGTTCAGTCTACACAAAAGGGTTGTTTCAGTTTCTGAAGAGCTCCATTACTTGAATTTATATACTTGATGAGGTTGATTTATAAAAAGGCAAATATAATATTCACCTTTCAAAGGAGTTTTCCCATAGCTTAGTGAATTATGCAAAGTTCTTCCATCATCCAATAATGTGCAAGCAAATATACAATTAAAAAAAAAATAAATTTCCTTGCCTGGGGTACTACAAACAGCCTTATAGAGCGGATGTGATACAATAAAAAAACATCTGCTGTAACAGACTTTACCCTAACATTGAGTATAAATTCAACGGTCAGTATACACTTTCGACAGGTGTGTAGATAACAGAAGTATTCTCCTATAATAAAAAAAAAAAAAAAACTAAACGTTCAAAGGGCTGCCAAGGGGAAATTACGCATTGGCATATATAAAATAACAAGAGTATTTACACACACACTATATTGCCAAAAGTATTGAGACACCAATCCAAATCATTGGATTCAGGTGTTCCAATCACTTTCATGGCCACAGGTGTATAAAATCAAGCCCCTAGGCATGCAGACTGCTTCTACAAACATTTGTGAAAGAATGGGTCGCTTTCAGGAGCTCAGTGACTCCAAGCGTGGTCCCGTGATAGGTTGCCACCTGTGCAATAAGTCCATCCGTGACATTTCCTGGCTACTAAATATTCCACGGTCAACTGATAGTGGTATTATAACAAAGTGGAGCAACTGGGAACAACAGCAACTCAGCCACGAAGTGGTAGGCCACGTAACATGACAGAGCGGGGTCAGCTCATGCTGAAGCACACAGTGCGCAGAAGTCACCAACTATATGCAGAGTAAATAGCTAAAGAACTCCAAACTTCAGGTGGCCTTCAGATTAACGCAACAACAGCGTGTAGAGAGCTTCATAAAATGGGTTTCCATAGCCGAGCAGCTGCATCCAAGCCTTCCATCATTATATATATACACACACACACACTATATTGCCAAAAGTATTGGGCCGTCTGCCTTTCCACACACATGAACGTTAATGGCATCCCAGTCTTAGTCCGTAGGGTTCAATATTGAGTTGGCCCGCCCTTTTCAGCTATAACAGCTTCAACTCTTCTGGGAAGGCTGTCCACAAGGTTTAGGAGGGTGTCTATGGGAAGGGTTGACCATTCTTCCACAAGGGCATTTGTGAGGTCAGGCACTGATGTCGGATGAGAAGGCCTGGCTCACAATCTCAGCTCTAATTCATCCCAAAGGTGTTCTATGGGGTTGAGGTCAGGACTCTGTGCAGGCCAGTCAAGTTCCCCTACCTCAAACTCGCTCATTCATGTCTTTCTTTACCTTGCATTGTGCACTGGTGCACAGTCATGTTGGAACAGGAAAGGGCCATCCCCAAAATGTTCCCATAAAGTTGGGAGCATGAAACTGTCTAAAATGTCTTGGTATGCTGATGCCTTAAGAGTTCCCTTCAATGGAACTAAGGGGCCAAGCCCAACCCCTGAAAGACAAACACACACCATGATCCCCTCTCCACCAAACTTTACACTTGGCACAATGCAGTCAGGCAAGTACTGTTTTCCTGGCAACCGCCAAATCCAGACATACGAAGTTTGGAGGTCTTTAGCTATTTACTCTGCAGACAGTTGGTGACTTCTGTGCACTGTGTGCTTCAGCATGCACTGACCCCACTCTGTCATTCTACGTGGCCTACCACTTGGTGGCTGAGTTGCTGTTGTTCCCAGTTGCTTCCTCTTTGTTATAATCCCACTAACAGTTGAGCATGGAATATTTAGTAGCCAGGAACTGTCGCGGATAGACTTATTGCACAGGTGGCAACCTATCACAGTACCACGCTTGGAGTCACTGAGCTCCTGAGAGCGACCCATTCTTTCACAAATGTTTGTAGAAGCAGTCTGCATGTCTAGGGGCTTGATTTTATATACCTGTGGCCATGGAGGTGATTGGAACACCTGAATCCAATGATTTGGAGGGGTGTCCCAATACGTTTGGCAATATAGTGTGTATACATTATATATATCTCCATTGTCGTTTCAGCTAGCCCAAATGTTAAAAAGAAAAGCAAAATAAATAAAATCAGGGAATGGTAAAACCACAGCCCCAACATGTATGTCCTGTCATGAAGAATGTTGCAGGAAGCACCGCTGCACACTCTGTGAGACCATAAGGCCAAAACATTGACTGAGCCATACCTAAAACTCTCCAATGAACATAGCTTAGTAGAGAGCTGTAGTTCAAACCATATTCATTTCAAAAACATGAAAACAAAGAGGGAGCAAACACCTAGCGCATTACCATAAAACAATTTATTGAAAATGAAAGACAAAGGTTTTACTCACAAACCAAAGTAGGTAATTGGCATGTGGTTGCATAAACACACAATGTGGACTGCTCTCAACCTCCATCTGGAGGTCCATGGGATCACACCTAGAGTGATGGTATCCATTTCTGAGCTCCAAGTGTCAAGTTTGACAATCTTTGTACTTGATATTCATTTCAAAACCCAATTGTAGTTTCATTTAATGAGCTCTGTGAGAGCAGCAGGCTGTCTGCAAAAGTTCAGCACACCCCCTGCTCACACTGAGCTCAGTAGCTGAAACTGCAGTTGGGCTTTGAAATGAACATGGTATGAGGGGAGTGAACATTTTAAACAAAAAAATCATGAAAATTGTTAATTTTCATTTTCAAAGCTAACCTTTTAATTTTCAGGACAAGTGTTCCCTTCTTCAGGGACCAAAGAGTACTGCTAGGACCTAGAAGTAAGAAACATCCTGAAAGTTTAACTGTTAGTGCAAATAAAAAAAGTATCATGGACAGTACTCAATGCTTGCTGCAAGTGCACCAAGACGGCTACTATTATTTCAAGCATTTTAAAACTAAAATGGCAGCAACTGTTTTGGGATTGTCCTAGACTGACAAATTTCTGGAATGGAAGGGAGTTTTCAATTTAATAATCTCGCGTTAGAACTGTCCCTTCCTATTTCCCCAGAGTTAGCCCTTGTGGGGATTCAGGATGATGATCAGCCTTGGCATAGTACCAAATAGCCGATTTCCTTTTTTGCTTTTCTATGCCAAGAAAGAAATCCTCCTTCGGTGGTCCTCTCCTACTCCTCCAATGGTGTCTTCCTGGGAGGCGATGTTGGATGCAGCCCTGCCCATGTACAAACTTACATATCTCAATAGAGGATGCCCTTGGAAATATGATAAAGTGTGGTCCCTTTGGACTTTGAAATGGTGTTCCCTTCCATGCCCCCCTTTTTTTTCTCATTTCCTATTTCTTCTCCTCTATTCTTCCCCTTGATTTCCTCCCTGGTTCTACTCTCTCTATTCTTCCTACTACTTTATACCTTCTTTATTTCTCTTGGACGACTATCCCCCCATGAGACTCTGGTGCCTTCCCATGGTTTCACTCAGGGACCCTTTGATTGAGTGGTCATTTCATGCACACTGTTCTATACATGGTTACTTACTGCTCTGTTGTTCTTTATTGTAGATCACTGCATTTGGTCAATATGTATGGCATTATCTTTTGTACATGAGTTTAATTGCTCTGTAATACTCTTGTCTTCAATAAAACACTCCTGATTTGTAAATTAAAAAAAAAAAAATGGCAGTATTTGTATAGCAAAGCCTGATAAATGTCAGATACAAAGTTTGCCAATTCGCCTTTTTTTGGACGCAGCTCTTTCTGCCCTTTGTTCCTCCTTTTATGTTTGTTGTAAGTATCTAAAATAACTGTACTCTTTCACTGTTTCGTAACTTTCCATTACAGTCTACACCAGTGTTTCTCAACTTTGTTTCAGTTGCGACACTCATTAAAATTGTGCACCCCATTCTAAAATGTAAAAACCAAAACTAGTAGTTTTACATATCACAGCAGCATTGTCAATGTTCTCCTTTGATCTGACCCTCCGTTGCTGAACCCGGCTCGTGACCTGTGATTCTCGTCTGCTGTCCTGTACCGTTTTGTCTCGTTGTTGTTGACCCGGCGTGCCCGACTACTCTATTGTCTTTACCACTAGCTACACGCCATTGGCGGCGGCCATTACCGCAGCTGGGGTGCCTCGGGGGCCGCGACCTGGTTCCTGGCTGCGTCAAGTCCATCCCCACCATCAGGGGCCCTGGTGAAGGCCAGCCTGGGACTTAGACTCCGCGCCCAGAGGGACTTCGGTCTGTGGGTGGTGGTTGTCGTCAGCCTGTGCGTTACATTGTTATTAGGCCTGCCTGTCCATTTCCCAGCTCCTGCCCTGACAAGCATCCACACATATAGAACACCCAACATTAGAGGTGATCTATTCCTACAAAGCAAACATACTGTACTTTTGTATACTGGTACCGACTAGTATTCCAGCTAGTCTAAAATACTTGTCATTTTCTTAGTCCTGAGAAAGAATGAAACTTGGTAGCTACAGGCAGTCTTGTTTATATAAGTAACATTTTATTTAAAGCCCATCTCCAGGCACAGCTTTAGACATAAGCATGGATATCTTTCGGCCAATTAGCAGGCAGGGCTTTAATTTTACATTTTAAGATGGCTGACTGGTTTATTTTAAAGAGTGATACATGAAGCTTGAGGTGTCATAGAGAAGCTTGAGGCACCTCGTATTATAAGGAGGGATGAGGCATTTCATATAACAGAGGGAGATGAGGCATCTGATTAGTGTGCTGGAAAGCAAGTCTTACTGGTGATGTGAGTACTGGGGAGTGAAGGGCATGCTTCAGAGCATGGCTTATTGGTGACAAGGATCCTGGGGACTGACGTTTGTGCTAGAGAGCATGGCTTATTGGTGACATGGATACTGGGGTGTGAAGTGTGTGCATGCTGGAGAGCAAGTCTTACTGGTGACATGGATATTGGGGATTGAAGTGTGTGCATGCTGGAGAGCAAGTCTTACTGGTGACATGGATACTGGGGAGTGAAGTGTGTGATGGAGAGCAAGTCTTACTGGTGACATGGATACTGGGGAGTGATGTGCATGTTGGAGAGCAAGTCTTACTGGTGACATGGATACTGGGGAGTGAAGTGTGTGATGGAGAGCAAGTCTTACTGGTGACATGGATACTGGGGAGTGAAGTGTGTGATGGAGAGCAAGTCTTACTGGTGACATGGATACTGGGGAGTGATGTGCATGTTGGAGAGCAAGTCTTACTGGTGACATGGATACTGGGGAGTGAAGTGTGTGATGGAGAGCAAGTCTTACTGGTGACATGGATACTGGGGAGTGATGTGTGTGATGGAGAGCAAGTCTTACTGGTGACATGGATACTGGGGAGTGAAGTGTGTGATGGAGAGCAAGTCTTACTGGTGACATGGATTCTGGGGAGGCCCACCCATTGGAAAATTTACTTGGGTGTGTGGGTTTAGGGATGGTCTTTTGTAAAGTGCATAAAACACCTTGGACAAAGGAGAAGCCCCCCTTTTGTGCCATGTGCCTTCCACAGCACAGACCTCAGAACTTCAGGATCGCTGTAATGTATCACCATTGCTCTGTCTTTTTCTTGTAACTATCTCTCTCTTGTAGTCTTTGTATAGGTAACATTCTGTATTATATTTTTGTTGTATTTGATTAATAGAAAGCTTCCTTGCTTTGTAAATAAATTAGATGTTTATTTTTTGCACAGTGGTTATCTTTTAATATTAACACTATTGGCTAAATTCAGGTATAGACAAAGGGTTATAATCACTTATTACATTTATAATCTGTATAGAACCAAGTAAATAAGTGTGGATAGGTTGCTGAAAACCCATTGAAATTGCCTGAAAACTGCCATGTGTGTGGCCAACATATATGTCCTATAAGGCAGGCAGACACATATATCAGGCATGTAAGACTACCTGCATGCATGGTAACTTGGGAACCCCAAAACCAATTTTTGCCATCAGTGACTTCAGTTCCTCCATCCGGATTGGGAATCCCCTGCGTGCTCCTGCATGGTGCATGGCAGGGGAAAAGATGGGGAATCAAGCTCCATTTCAGGAATCAAAGTCACTATTTTCTTGGTATGTCTGCTTTGAGCTACGAACGCCATTACCACATATAGTTTTAAAAAGGAAAGACTTAGTTTTCCTTTAGAAAAAAATAATAAATGCACCCACACTGAATAAAGGAAAAAATGTAGTTTGTCACTGGGCAGCTGTGTTCCTGACAAGGGTAGTTCCTAGTCATATGATCAAAGTCTTTGCTTTGACAACTTAGAACAGGTCTTTGTCTGCTGTATCTGAATAAAAGCATTACAGTATTTTGTAAACAATGCTTGTCTTTGTGTTCCAGTATCTGGTCAGTTTCAGCTACAGCTGGCCATACTCACCCTGGTTGCTTTAGTTCAGCCTGCAAGCTCAACAAATGAAATGTAACAGATCCCTCCATCCATGATAAGCAAGGCAAAAAGCAGACCATTGTAAGCCCCCCTGCCGAAGGTAAATGGTTTGTCTTAACTCTCTAATTGTTACTTTGTCTGGACAGCTTGGTCTGTTAAAGGAAGTTGAAAAATAACAGGCTTATTGACTAGTTCAAAAGGAAAAATGCCTAAAAAAAGAAAACTAATGCAGCCGCCACATTTAAGAACTAGCAAACTGCAATAATAGTGGTTTGCTTTTGGGTTTACTACATCAAGTTCAAAATTTGTATTCACCGCAAGATACCAGTAGTATACCTTCCTGAAAATCAGCTCCCCACATTCTCATATGGCAGTGTTTAATGATGGAAATCAATAATTGTTTTGGGGTGATGTTTTATATATGTCGTATATATACAGTATATGCATATTATATATATATATATATACAGTGGGGCAAAAAAGTATTTAGTCAGCCACCAATTGTGCAAGTTCTCCCACTTGAAAAGATGAGAGAGGCCTGTAATTGGCATCATAGGTAGACCTCAACTATGAGAGACAAAATGAGAAA